GGATACCTCAGGTTCTTCACAATGGATACCTCAGGTTCTTCACAATGGATACCTCAGGTTCTTCACAAAGGAAACTTCAGGTTCTTCACAAAGGATGCCTCAGGTTCTTCACAAAGGATACCTCAGGTTCTTCACAAAGGATACCTCAGGTTCTTCACAAAGAAGACCTCAGGTTCTTCACAAAGGATACCTCAGGTTCTTCACAAAGCAGACCTCAGGTTCTTCACAAAGAAGACCTCAGGTTCTTCACAAAGCAGACATCAGGTTCTTCACAAAGCAGACATCAGGTTCTTCACAGAGCATACCTCAGGTTCTTCACAGAGCATACCTCAGATTCTTCACGAAGGATACCTCAGCTTCTTCACAGAGAAGACCTCAGATTCTTCACAAAGCAGACCTCAGGTTCTTCACAATGGATACCTCAGGTTCTTCACAAAGGAGATCTCAGGTTCTTCACAAAGGATACCTCAGGTTCTTCACAATAGATACCTCAGGTTCTTTACAAAGAATACTCATGAGACAAGTAAGAATCTTTCTCTAGAGTCTTCAGAAAGAGGATGGCCCCATCAGCACCTTGAATTGAGGCTACTAAACTCAAGAACTCTGTGTGAGAAAATACATTTCTGTTCTGTTGTTGTTGTTAAGTGCCATTGAGTCGGTTCCAACTCATAGCAACCCTGCATAGGGTTTCGAAGGAGCAGCTGGTGGGTTTGAACAGCTGACCTAGTGGTTCGAAGTCCAGTGCTGAGCCACACAATTAGTTACGATAGCCCTAGGAAACAAACAGCATCCCACTCATATTTTCCCTGTCAGTGCTATGATGTCCTGGTGGTAGAGATATTCAACCATTTCTTTTAAGTTTCTTTTGAGGATTATTAATAACATGGCTTGTCATTACCAATCCTCAAAAGACATGGATATGGAGTCCTGGTGTGGTGTAGGGTAAGCACTGGGCTGCAAGGTTGGTCGGTGGTTCAAACTCACCAGCCGCTCCTTGGAAACCCTTTACAAGGTCACTATGAGTTGGAACTGACTTGACGGTGCTTCACAACAACACCAAAATAATGTGTATAAGATCCCATTCATCTATATATAAGCCTCATGAGTTAGGGAACATAACTGTTTTGTTCATCACTGTTTACTTGCTGCCTGGCAACTAGGAGTGCACAAGAACAGCATTTGGAAAGAATGTGACTATCTAATGGTGTAGGCATGGTTAAGAAGTACAGTTCTTCCAAACATGAATATCTAATGGTGGAGGTTAAGAAGTTTGGTTCTTTCAAACGTGACTATCTAATGGTGGAGGTTAAGAAGTCTGATTCTTCCTAACACTATAAAATTCTGCATCTGTGAAAAACAAGAACTCTCAACACACAAGTGTGGTCCCTGCGTAACACAAGCTGCTCTCAACTGCTAACTGAAAGACTGGTGATTCTATCCCATCCAACAGCACCATGGAAGAAAAGCCTGGCGATCTCTTTGATTAAGATTACAGTTGAGAAAATCTATGGAGTTCAGAGCTACTCTGAAAACATGAGGTAACCAGGAGTAGGAATTGACTTGATGGCAACAAGATAAGGCACACAAGCAAATGGCAACTTGGGTTGTTGCTGTTGTTAAGAGCTGTCGAGTCGGTTCCGACTCATAGCCATCTGTGTAGGATTTCCAAAAAGTAGCTGTTGGATTTGAACTTCTGACTTTGTGATTCATGGTCCAGGGCTGATCCAACAATGCCACACCAGGAGTCTGGTATTTGGGTTGTTGTTGTTAAGTGTTGTCGAGCTCGCTTCCCACTTCTTCTCTGGGTTCCCCATTTCTATTCATTCTTTTGTGTGCCCCTTCCTGCCTTCTGAGCTTTGGTTTTGGGCAAATGCTGCCCTTTTGGTGTTGTACCGTTAATTATTCTGAGAAGTATGTTCCTCGTGAGGATTATTGTACTTTATAGATTTGTCTGTTGTTTGACTGCAAGATGATCTGTGGAGATGGATTCTGTTCCAGATTTGAAGGGTGTCTAAGGACCACAGGCAAGGCTCTCGTGGACTTGTTTTCATTTTCTTCAGCTTCAGCCTGAACTTGCATATGAGCAATTGATGGTGTGTTGGCTGATGCTATGGAGCTTTTCCACTATCTCTTCCCACAGATGTAGTCAATTTGCTACCTGTGTATTCCATCTGGTGAAGTCCTGGTGTAGTGTCATCTTCATAGTTGTTGAAAAAATGTGTTTGCAATGAAGAAGTCATTGGTCTTGCAAAATTCTATCAAGCAATCTCCAGCATCGTTTCTATCATCAAGACCTTGTTTTCCAACTACTGAGTCTTCCTCTTTGTTTCCAACTTTTGCATGTCAATCACCAGTAATCATCAACGCATCTTGATTGTATGTTTGATCAATTTTAGACTGAAGAAATTGGTAGAATTCTTCCATGTCTTTGAAGTTGTCTTTGTTGGCCGGTGCATACATTTGAATAATAGTTGCATCGAATGGTCCTCCTTGTAGACATATGGCTATTACCCTATCAGAACCAGCATTGTACTTCAAGACAGATCTTGAAATGCTCTTTGTGGTGATGAATGTAACACCATTCCTCTTCAGTTTGTTGTTCTGAGCATAGTAAACCATATGATTATCTGATTCCGAATGACCAATATCACCAGTCCACGTAAGTTCACTCATGGCTAGGATGCCAATTGTTATGCATTCCATCTTATTTTTTATGATTTCCAGTTTTCCTAGATTCATACTTCACACATTCCGTGTTCTGATTATGAGTAAATGTTTACAGCTGTTTGTCCTCATTTTGAGTTTTGCTCCATCAGCAGATGAAGGTCCTGAAGGCTTTACTCCATTCGCATCATCATGCTCAACTCTACTTTGAGGAAACAGCTCTTCCCCAGTGGCATTTTGAGCACCTTCCTACCTGAGGGGCTCATCTTCAGGCACTATATCTGACAATATTCTGGTGCTCATCATATTTCAATAGTCAATATTCTGGTGCTGACATTGTTCCACCCCTATTCATAAGGTTTCCAGTGACTAAATATTCAGAAGTATTCTGTCTCTCCTTCTTCCTAGTCTGTCTTCATCTGGAAGCTCAGCTGAAACCTGTCCACCGTGGGTGACCCTGCTGGTATTTAAAATACTGGTGCCATAACTTTCAGCATCACTCAAGCCAGTACAGTCTGGCAAACTGACAGAGGAGTGATGGGGAGCACACAGTAGGTCATCATAAACTCCTGTTAGGGCTAGGGCAGCATTCTCTTGACTCTTTTATTCAATCAGAGCCACCAGATCATTCACCTGCCTCAACATCCTTCTGTGGCTTCCCTAGCCCAAAAGACATCTCTAACATTCTGATCCTCTCTGCCCACTTCCCCAACTTCCTAAACTGCCACCTGATCCTCCCACCTCCTGCCAGGACCTGAAGTTTCAGAAACAATGACTTCTGGATATCCCCCACAATCCTGACCAGTGATTTCCCGTTCCTACACCTCCATTCACAATTACCTCTGTCTGAACTCACTTCCCCTCTCATCTTCCCTTTACCCAGAAAATTCCTCTTGTCCCTTGATTGATGCCTCTTACTGTTCTCCCTCTTGGAATGTGTTTCTTGCCATCTCAAATCCAATTCTCCCTACCCTTCAATGAAACCTATTCTGATCTCTCCTGGTTGCAGGTTCCCTAGTAGGCTTGGAGTTCCCTAAGAGCAGGGCCAGCACAGAACTGGACACATGAGGTCACAGACAAAGGGGATCAGAAGTTCTGGGTGAGCAGTGTGAATACAAGTCATTTGATTCTGATGCAGTAGATTGGGTGGGCACTGAGATGCTGTGTTTCTAACAAGCTCTCAGGTGAACCCATTCTGCTGGACCAGAGATCACTTTTAGTAGCAAGGGCCTAACTCACTGGATTGGCTGGAGAAGGGAGAGGTGGGAGCTCAGGTGTGAGTGGGCCATCATCCCAGGGACATAAGTTGGCTGGGTGGTGCTACTTTGGGCTTCGTTGGTGTGCTTCTGCAGGTATCATGGAGCTGAGCTACGGCCTCTTCATTTGCTTTCTGCTCTGGGGCAGCACAGAGCTATGCTGCCCCCACCCCCTCTGGTTCCTTCAAGGTGGGGCCCATGGCCCTGTGTCATCTCTGCCATCTGTGCTGGTGGAGTGTCTGGAGGCCCAGCTCGTGGTCACTGTTAACAGAAATCTCTTTGGCACTGGGAAGCTTGTCAGATCTTCAGACCTTACGCTGGGCCCTGAACAGTGTGAGCCTCTGGCCTCTGAGGACACCGCCGACGTGGTCAGGTTTGAAGTTGGACTACATGAGTGTGGCAACCGTGTGCAGGTGAGGCTTGCGGGCGCCCTCCTTAGGCCTGGCTTGGGTGGGAGTTACGGAGGCAGCCGAAGACAGTGATGGAGTATGAGATGTAGTCATGGAGGTGGGACTAAAGTAGATCATTTCCCTTACGGTGGAGAAGGTAGAGCAGCTGGGAATACGGAAGAGGGTCTGCTAGCTGCCTGAATCAGGGAGGTGGGTGGGGTCCAGAGACAGCAGTATGCTCTGGGCACCCCTTCCCTGATTCCTCCTGAGGATTTATAACGCCCCTACCCCGACTCCGGAGGAAGAAGAGCTGGACCTACATAGAGGTGTGTATGGGTATGTGAGCAAAATAGGATACCAGGTACTTGGTTGGGGTTGTATGCACTTGTATTGGGATCTGGATACCAGAAAACCCAGAAATAACCATTGTAGAGAAAAATAACAGACTTTTGATCTGCCTCTTCATTCATGTTTAATGGCTTGAATTCAAAATGGGTCAGAGGAGGAAATTGGCTTGGTCACCTCTGTTGAAGACCTTAAAGATCTTCATCCAGCCCATGGGGTCATTCCAAGTAGAAAGGGTTCAACACGGGAGGTAGGTGCTGAAAGAGACCCCATACCAGGAGAACCAAGGACAAATCGCCTTCCTAAAGCAATAAGAAACTTACTCAGACCACACAGGGCTTTCCGGCAAGACAGTAAGGGGAACCCAGGGCCCTAGCTGTGTTTACTTGGGGCTGACTTCCTAGCCCTGTGGAGGGCCTGTCTTTCCTCCAATTATGGGGGCCCCAGTCTCCTGGACTCGGTAGATAAGGGGCAAGCTAAGCCCTCAAGCCAGAGCTCTGGTCTTATGGTCCTCAGACATGCCTTGAGGATTCATAGCCTTTGTTCTGGGGGGGGATGGGGTGGTGGTAGTGGTGAATTGGTGGTGGCTGAGGGCTGTAGATGTTGTTTGCACATCAGGATCACCTGAGGGAACTTCTAAAACTCCTGATATTTGGGCTACAATCTTATACCAGTTAAATTAGAAGCGGAGTGGAAGGCAGACATTAGGATGCTTGACCCCTATGTGATTTCAATAAGGAAAAGACCTTGACAATTCTTTCACTAGTGTGTGTGTGTGTGTGGGGAGGGGGGCGGTTTTAAGGAGCTCTGCTAGTGTAGTGGTTACAAGTTGGGCTGCTAACCTCAAGGTCAGCACTTTGAAACTACCAGTCTTTCCACAGGAGAAAGATGAGGCTTTCTGCTCTCATAAAGATTTACACCTCAGAAACCCTATACAGGGTTGCTATGAGTCGGAACCAACTCCATGGCTCACCATCACTATCAGCATGGGGTTCACCAATCTTGCTTGAAAAGGGTCACCTGGGGCCACGGCCAATTTCAAGGGCATTTGATCTATGGCTCAGCTTGGTTTAAGAAGCCCTAGTGTAATGTAGTGGGTTATGTGTTAGGCAACCTGCCGCAAAGTTGACAGTTTGAATCTACCAGGCTTTCTGCTCCTGTAAAAATATACAGCCTCAGAACCCTATTCAGGGCCACTGTGAGTCAGAACCAACACACATGGAACATCACCACCACCACAGGCTTGGTTTAATGTTCTGTTGTTGTCTTGAAATTCTTAATTCTTAAACAAGAAACTCCACATTTTCATTTTGCACTGGATTTCACAAATTGAGCAACTGGTTTTGTCTGGGGACATTGGTAGTAGAGATTCAGAACAGGCTCCCTTGAAAGGGTAGAGTTAATCAAGATAGGCAGCCACCTGGGTCCCAGGTGTAGCCTTCTTAGGGGTACAAATTGCCCAAGTAGCACCTGCCTTGGTCAATCACTATACCAGCTTCCCTCCTGGTGAAATGGGACTTTCTTGGTCCTAAGCATTTCCCCTGAAAGAAGGAACCTGATAGATATGTGATGAGGTGGGGGCAGGTAGCATGAGGAGGAAAGAACATATCCTAATGTCTAGCCATGGGTACTTCTTGGTGTCTGGAGTTCTGTCCACAGATACTGTGTGGGTGCCATCATTCAGAGGTAAAGGTCCTGAGGGGCACAATGGTGCCCTACCCAGGTTCTCATCCAAGCTAATAGAGCTGGGTTTGATTGCAGAGTCTGTGTTCTCCCCAGCCCCCAATGGACGGCCCTCCCCATTCCTGCCTGGTTCAGGTGTACCTTGAGTGCATGACCCTGGGAGAATTAACCCCTTCTTTCCTTCAGGTAACTGATGATGCCCTGGTATACAGTACCTTCCTGCTCCACAAGCCCCGCCCTGTGGCCAACCAGTCCATCCTGAGGACTAACCGTGCTGAGGTCCCCATCGAGTGCCACTACCCCAGGTCAGTGAAGGTCATGGCCTGTCACAACCCTGACCAGACTCAAAGTCCCCTTAGCACTGACTATGCCAGCCCACCATGTACCCTCAGCCTTGTGAGAGTGGGCCTTGCTGGATCTACTTTGATGCTATGAAATGCATTAGGGGTTTAGCTTAGTAAAAAGCCACAGAATCCTGAAGGGCACAGAGTAGGGACTGCTGCCTCAGAGCCCTGACCCCCCAAGCCTCCAGGATCAGTCAAGCTTCTGACTTCAGATGCTACCACGGGAGGGCTGATGGACCCAGAGTTCAATCCATTACAGCTGGAGGACAGAGTTTTGAGGTGCAAGGCTTAGCCTGTTAACTTGGTCACAGCTGGGGACTCCACAGTGGGGTAGAAATGATATACCTCCATGTGGGCCCAGCTGGGATGAGTCCGGGGCAACTGTTGCTCTTCTCCCAGGCAGGTCAATGTGAGCAGCTGGGCTGTGCTGCCCACCTGGGTGCCTTTCAGGACCACAGTGCTGTTCGAGGAGAAGCTGCCTTTCTCTTTGCGTCTGATGGAAGGTGAGCAGGAGGGCTGGGAGAGGTCTAGAAGGGAAAGCTCTAGGTGTTTTTAAGCCCTGTGGTGGTGCCATGGGTTAAGCATTGGACTGCTAGCCAAAAGGTATCCATGGGAGACAGATGAGACTGTCTACTTCTGTAAAAAGACTCACAGCCTCAGAGACCTTGTGGAGCAGTTCTGTAGGTTTGCTGTGAATCAAAATGGATTTCACGACAGTGCATTTGCTTTCCAGAGGACTGGAGCACTGAGAAGAGGACTCCTACCTTCCAGCTTGGAGACACAGCCCACCTTCAAGCAGAGGTCCACGTGGGCAATCATATGCCACTGCGACTGTTTGTGGACCACTGTGTGGCCACACCAACGCCAGGCAGGACTGCCTCCACTCATCACACCATCGTGGACTTCCACGGGTGAGGACTGGGCTCTGCCTTACAAAGGAAAGTTTATCACGGGCTCCTGGCAACCCCATAGTCACCCCACGCAGCCTCTAATGCTCCTGTGGTCCTCTTCCCAGCTGTCTCGTGGATGGTCTCTCAGACACGGCCTCAGGATTCAGGGCCCCCAGGCCCGGGTCAGACACTCTCCAATTCACCGTGGATGTGTTCCACTTTGCTAACGACTCCAGAAACACGGTAAAAGCTTTTTTCTTTTCTTTTTCTTTCCTTAAACCTGCAATAAGTCTGAACCTCCATGGGCAGTCTGATCAGGCCTAAAATTCTGCCACTCTTCACTAGCTCTCCTGTAAAAAAAACAAACTTGGTTGCTCTGTTCGTGTCCTAACTTTCCAAGTAGATAGTCATTGGCTTAAGTAAGGCCTTTGAGAAGGCAAGGACAACACGCAAGGTTTAAAACACCCCACAAAGGGTAGTGGGGGGCGTCAGGGGGCCTGCATGCAGGAATTTAGAACAACCTAACAGAATGGGAGCCCAAATAGGGCTGTTCTACAGCAGGCACGGACAACATCAGACCCAAGGGTAGTATGTTGTTGTTGTGATGTGCCGTGGAGTTGGTTCTGACTCATAGCGACCCTGCACAGGGTTTCTGAGGCTGTAAATCTTTACAGGAGCGGAAAGCCTCATCTTTTTCACATGGAACAGCTGGTAGTTTCAAACTGTTGACCCTGAGGTTAGCAGCCCTATTCGTAACCACTATGCTACCAGAGCTCCTTAAGGGCAGTATGTTGTTGTTGTTATGTGCCATGGAGTCGGTTCCAACTCATAGCGACCCTGCACAGGGTTTCCGAGGCTGTTAATCATTATGGGAGCAGAAAGCCTCATCTTTCTCCCGCGGAGCAGCTGATAGTTTCGAACTGCTGACCTTGTGGTTTGCAGCCCGATTCGTAAGCACTATGCTACCAGAGCTCCTTAAGGGCAGAATAAGGCCCTCGAAATCATTTGGTCTGGCCCTGCCAAGGCAACTGCAATTGCAGCCATCACATTGTTGTTAAATGCTGTTGAGTTGGTTTTGACTCATAGTGACCCTGTATAGGGTTTCCAAGGAGTGGCTGGTGAGCTTGAACCACCAACCTTGCAATTCAAACTGACCTTGCAGTCCAGCTCATTAACCCACAGCGCCACACCAGGACTCCAGCCATCACATTAGGGGTGAGATGAGTTAATTAAATGTTTGGCCAAGTATAACAGGCTAATTTTTAAGTTGATAATTTTGCATGACCTGCAAGTGACCTAAATTTTGGCAGAAAAAAGGTTCCCTACCCCTGGTTTAAGGTGTGGGTACCTCCCAAATGTTCTTCTTGCTGTTAAGTGCTATCAAGGTGGTTCTGACTCGCAGATATTCTGTGTAAGGTTTCCGAGCCTATGAGTCCCATCTTTCCCCTGTGGAATGGCTAATGAGTGTGAACCTTACCAGGGTTGCTATAGGAGTTGGAAGCAACTTGATGGCACTTAACAATTGTTTTCACTGAAAACTGAGCCATGGAGTAAGTCCAATCTTGGGCTTGAAGACTGACTAAGAGTCTTCATCTCTGGGACTGAAGAATAATATTTTAAAAGTATAGCTTCTTGAACTTGGTTAGTCTACACCAGTATTTCAGAAACGTGAGAGTGTGTGTGTAAGTATTGCCTTCAGAGCTTATGGAACACATGGCTGGCTCCGCTCCCAAGTTTCTGATTCAGTCTGAGAAAGTGTGTTGATAAAACAAGCACTCGGGGAGGGGACATTAGTGCTGCTGGTCTGGAGGCCACACTTTGGTGGTGTGGGCTTTCTAGTTTAGTGGTTCTCAAAGTGTGGAGGTTGACAGGGGTTGACAGGAAGGAAGCTAGATGAGGATTGCCCCTTAGGACTGAGGGAAGGAGCAACGGAACAGGCAGAGCTGACCTCCAGCCTCAAATGCTGGTGGAGTCTTACAGTGAAGCTCCAGGAGCTTTAATGTGAATTCCCTGAGATATGAGTGGGGTGTGAATTAAGAAGTGATTAAGTGAAGGTTTCCCAACTTTATACTTCTCACCTGGGAAGGTAAAAAAAAAAAAAACACTGATTCTATACACAAGCAGCGTTGATTCTTGAAAAAGCAATTTAAATGGTTTGGGCCTCACTCATATGATATTCCCTGTCCCCCTTATGGCTTTTGGGGTGAGTTCAAGTGTTACAAGTGTCTGGTTAAAACACCACATGGTATTACAATTATCCTCACATGAGCCACGCTCAAGGGTCAACTGTAATTCCATTTTTACTTCATTGCAATGGGGCCAGGCATCCCTTTAAAAAAAAAAAAATCTTAATGGAAGTTGGAAAGGAGTGTGTTTAATAACTTTCAGATAGCAGGATATCCACTGTTATTTTTTAAGTTTTTATTATGAATTGAGTGAAAATTTACAGGGCA